CCGAAAGGCCTTTAAAATGGGTTTTTGCAATTAAAAAATTCACATAAATGTAGAGCACTCTCTTCAACTTTTACCAAGTGTCTCCACGAGTCAGCCGGACTCTGCACTCGCTCAGCCCCGACCGGTCGTCTCGATCAGTCGACAGAGGGTGCTGCGATCGGTCAGAGCGGGGGACGAGCGGCAAAAGCGGGCAGTCTCCAGCCGGCAGCCGGCGCGCGTGTGGAGGGGAGTGCGCGTTCCGGACCAGTGAGGGGCACGCGCCGCGTGGCCACCGAGAGGTCAGTGCAGCACCACGCGCAACAGACAGCGCTTGTGGCCCAGCAGCACCACGCGCAGCAGACAGCGCTCGTGGCCCAGCAGCACCACGCGCAGCAGACAGCGCTTGTGGCCCAGCAGCACCACGCGCAGCAGACAGCGCTTGTGGCCCAGCAGCACCACGCGCAGCAGACAGCGCTTGTGGCCCAGCAGCACCACGCGCAACAGACAGCGCTTGTGGCCCAGCAGCACCACGCGCAGCAGACAGCGCTTGTGGCCCAGCAGCACCACGCGCAGCAGACAGCGCTTGTGGCCCAGCAGCACCACGCGCAACAGACAGCGCTTGTGGCCCAGCAGCACCACGCGCAACAGACAGCGCTTGTGGCCCAGCAGCACCACGCGCAACAGACAGCGCTTGTGGCCCAGCAGCACCACGCGCAACAGACAGCGCTTGTGGCCCAGCAGCCCACAGCGGGGGACGGAGACCGCGGCAGAAGCGGAGGCGTCATGCTCTGCCCGCCGCAGCCCAGAGCAGAGGCGTCGGTGCCGCTGGCGGCCGGCTGGCGGTCGGCGCCGGCTCCGCTGCGGCTCGTCTGTCGCCGCCGGCTGCTGGCCGTCGGCGGCTCGCCGGCCCGCCGCCGCCTGTTCCCGCCCGTCGACGCCGACGAGACGCGCCAGTTCGTGAAGCGCGAGCTCGCCGCCCTGCGCGCCGCCGACCGGCGACGCTACAACTTCGACTTTGAGGCGATGACGCCGCTGGAGGGTCGGTTCGCGTGGCAGCGGATGGAGGCCGACGCCCTGCCGGCGGAGGGGGCGTGCGGGGCGTCGCGGCGTCTGCAGCTGGACCGCGCCGATCGCGGGCTGACGACCCCTGACCCGGCCGTTAGGTGCCGCCGACACACAGACTCGACCGTGGTGCGCCGCCTGCTCTCCGCTGTGACGCGGCCACTGAGTCCGTCGCCGAACGGCGGACGTCTGTTGGAGGAGACCGAGGTCGGCATTTGCAGAGGAGGCTCCGGGCCCGCGGCACGGTGGAGCCCTCAACCGCGACGCGCATCTGAAGCGGGACAGAGCGTCCCGGATGCAGTTGCAGCACGTGCGTCACTGCGTCAGAGCAGCATCTCAGGTACACATAGCAGCGTGGTTGTGCTCAGTGCATTGCCCCCCAGAGTAAGGGGTGGGGCTTCGCCTTACAGGGGTGCAGCTGAACTGGAGGGGGAAATTATTCACAGCGTTTATGCAACGTGTTATCACGTATCATAATATGACATGGCATTATCACGTATTACAAATGTGCATTTGTCGTTAGGGTGAGTCATAGAAATTCTTAGTCCGCCCCGCACAGCTGTAGTAGTGTAGTAGTAGAAAGTATGTTACGCCATCGTGCGTGCCAGCCGGCTGCCCCGCATTTGCCATGTAGCTGTCACAGGTGGGTGTGGCCGCGGGCATGACTGCGCAGTGCGCTGTGAGAAGGTCGGCGCGCCAAGACTGCATGTACGTGGAGTGGCTGCCGTCGATGTGGCCGCGGATCGATTGCGTGGTTGATGCCCGGCAACAGGGTGCGTGACGCGCAGTGCGCCGTTGTGCTTCCACCAGCACCAGATGTACCGCATTCTCACGGCGATGGGCACGGCCAGTCTGAGCACATTTTCGACCGGCTTGTTTTGGCGGCTTGCAGCCCCACGGCCGTGCTGCACTCACTTTAATCGACATCCGCGTACGGCGGCGTCGGCCTGTGTTAAGGATTTTGGGTGCTGGGTCGAGGGGTCGACAAGCTAACCTCACCTCACACGCATGTTTCTCAGCCGACTCAGCTCACTCTTGTCGATGGATGATCCAAACCTGCTCTCTAGCCTTAAGTGTGTGTAACGTTCATCAAATAGCTCCCAATTGTTGCAGCGCATAGTCGCGGCCATCCAATGATGCCTAACTAAGGCTACGTTTAATATTTAACTTGCTTTTCATTTTTTGTAATATTCCAGACAAAAATGTCAGGGGCCCAAAACCGACATGGGGTCCTAAATCCTTATGGCGGAGGACAATCACGAAAGCACACAAACTGACACCCTGCTCGCCTACACGGTTCAGCCGGAACAAGAGCTTTAGCTTACAAAATGTTGACATTTACTGCAACGTAAAAACATGTCCGACGATTACACACGTTGTATAACATTTCTTACGCGCCGTGCAGCGGGCAAAATATTCTGTCCCTTGTGACTTATCCGTCTGATTCGCCTTTTGCGTTTTTACTTTCGGCCCGAGCCCGTCTGAAAATGGCTTCTCCCCTTCAATGAATGAAAACAATTACGTTCCCCACTAGCGACGTCTAGCACTATGTCACAGACAGTTTATAATTACTAGTGACCTTTTCAGCAAGACCACCGTAGCGTTTCTGCTGCGCGCACCCCGCGTGGCGGCCCCGTCCCTCTGTCGGCGCATCTCCCCTCCCCCTGGCGGCGTCCCCTAGCAACCGGCATTCCAGCGGAGCGTAAACAAGGCGGGGGGGGGGGGGGGGGGTTCGCCAGGCCGGAGCATGCCGATGGGAGCCGAGGAATGCGGTACGAGACCACGCAGCCTCCGCGGCGGCCGGCCTGGCGCGTGCAGCCCGGAGTCGTTTAGCCGGCCGCTGCCGCAGCGGGCGCGCCCGTCTCCAGCTGCGAGGGTGTTCCGACCAGGCGGACAACCTGCTGCAGAGACGGCGCAAATGTGGAGGAGGGCGTCATGGGCCGAAACAGTGAAGCCCAGTTTACTGCCTCTTGGTCGGATGAGTTTGCGCAGCGTGATATGGGAATGTCGGTGCAATTTGCTGAAAAAGTGTCGTTGGAACCATTTCGACGCAAGCGTAGGTGAATGCAGGCCAGCATGTCCTTGTCCCGGCAAGTTTCCAACAAGGCCATCAGGCATGGCAAAAGTGGCGGTCCCCCCTCCCTCTCGTCGTCGAGAAAATAGAACAGCCGCCCTATGGTGCCGCGTGACACCAAGAGGTAAAACGTTATGTTGTGTCCCCTCCCCTTCCGCCCTCCCAATGTCTCAGAAGATGCACCGTTACTGGGTGCCATCCGACGCATCAGCCCAGTCTCTCGTGCGGTGAGTGATTCAGTATTGGCTGCCAGCTCACAAATCGGCCCAGTCTCGTGCGGTGAGTGGTTCAGTATGGGCTCCAGCCCACACATCAGCCCAGTCTCTCGTGGTGAGTAGCTCAGTTCCGGCTGCCCTGTCCGTCCGGAACAGCAACAGCGGAAACGTCAAACATATGGCGCTCCATGGAGAGAACCGGGGACAAATAACGTTTAACCCGTCATCCCTCACATGTTAGAGGATGCATCATCGCGGCTGTGAATACCGTGATATTCAAACTCATACATATTATTATTATTATTATATATATATAAACTATAATTATTATTATATATATATTATAATATACATATTATTATTATATATATATATAAACATATTCTGTCCGATGGCGGTCTTACATTCATCATCTGCCTGTCACACGGGGTTTGGTTTTCGACAACCGACGCGTCTTTCGGCGTTATGCACGACTCAATATATGCTTGTACGGCAGAATGTAATGACTTGGGGGACGTAACCAGAAGGCGAAAGAGAGGCGGTCCCTCATCTCGCCAGGAATATTTTAGTATTGCTTATTTTTAAAAGCATTTTCTGTGAAAAAAAACACAGGAAGGGGTTGGAGATCTCTCAATCGCCATTTTTTCCTGAGTTGCTATGCATGGCAATGCACTAATTGCGGACCGCGCTCATAGAGACGACCCTGACATTGTAAAATGTAGCGCGACAGCAAAGGACCTTTAGAGTGTTGAAGCAGGGATGCAGACAGAAGGCTCCAGATTTCCCCGAAGAGACGTGCGATTGCAATATTGAGTAATATAAGGTGACCTGGGCCAGCTCAGCCACTCGCAAGGGGGTGCCGGCGGCGCAGTGGTTAACGCGTCCGCGTTAACCGCTGCGCGTCTGGGAAACCAGAGGTACGGGGTTCGGTTCCCCGCGGTGCCCGCCCTTCCTGCCAGGATAAGAGGCAGGCGACGTCATATAGCCTCAGCAGCTGGGTGCGTCGTAACGTCCCAATGACATGACATGACTCTGCCACTCACCGTTTCCGATTAGAGAAGGCCGCTTCGATGAGCGGTCAGTCCGCGTGTCCGACAGATTCAAGGTACAAAACTGGCAAGGGGGGCGAATATGTTAATGCATTAATAACCCCTTGGGTGTGTTTTTATTGTTATGCAAATCCCACCAAATCGATCACCAAATAGCTCATGCTCTTATCTCAACCGACGTCATGTAGGACTCGGCCAGCCTGCAACCCGTAACTCTGAGCTATCCCCCTATTATGTTTTTATTTCGGGTGCTCGTACTAGTTTGAAGGTGGCGTACTCCCTCTCCTTACACTTCGGTCTCTCTTGTTGCAGATTTTACTGTAAGCAGGAAACGGCCTTCGTCTTCTGCGACCTGCTTCGAACGTCCCGGAAAGCTGCAGCACGTAGACTTCGCACCGCGCCTGAAGTCTTCTCTGCATGTGGACTTCCAACCGCACGTGGATTCTCCGCGGCATTTGGATGCATCACCGCACATAGAGTCCCCACTGCACGTGGACTCTCCGTCCCACGTAGATGTTCCGCGGCGGCCGTCCCTTCCACCAGATCGGGACACTGTGCTATCTAGCTGAACCGCCGATGCTCTGTGCCATTTAGTGCTGATCTCAATACAACAAAACTTGACAAATATAATGCGATGCGTGCTAGAAAGAAGAGTACTAGAAATGGGATGGAATACAATCGCCGTGGTTGATAATGTGCAGAGTTGCCTTTCAGTGCGCACGACAGAGTATGTCTGTTCACTCGCGCAGAGTTCTTTATAGCGCCTGCGGCATCTTGCTTGTCTTGCTGCAAAAGGAACTCTCTCTTCAACGCTACATAGTGTTAACGTAAAACAGGGTGATATGACAGTCGCCTACAACTATTTCTGTAACATACATACTTCTGCTTGAGGCAGCCGTAGGTCTGGGTTTGTGTTGACCACGGTGCTCCCTATGGCATTTGGGTGCTCTTTTCTTTTTGCCACGATATTATCCACGTCGTCAGTTTCTGTTTTCGCTACGGAGGCCATGTGGTGTTGACCATCTCACTCAGTATCACGCCACATGGCTGCTCGATTTCAAAAGCCAAACAGGCGTTCCCTCAGCACAGGGTGCCTGCCCTCACTGTGTGACACTGAACCCCTTTGTGCTGATACGATCGTCGGATCAGCGGCGACCCGCCGGGTCGCCCGTCCCCCGGGTCCGACCTCCCTGGTCGCCCCCCCCCCCCCCCCAGCCACGTCCGGTCTTGGCCACAACATCCTGGAATGCGGCGCCCACCAGCAGTCTGTAACAGCGCCCTCCCATATGTTGCTGGTGCCGACCTGAGCATGGTGTCCAGCCTGGCCGACTGCAGGCCCGACGGGCAGGAAAGGAGGTGGCTTCGTGTTTTCGTTCGCCTGTGCCGCAAAAGTTCTGGAATGTGTGGTTACCGACGGCGGTGGGGGCGATTGTAATCACCCAGCCGCGGGATTGCGCTTGCGGTGAAGCGCAGGTGAAGGTGGTTCTTTAAGAATTCTGCATTTGCAATCACAATGTCGGGGAAGCATTAAGTGGAGGTCACCGACAATCCTGGGCAGCGATGATGGCGACTGTGCAATCATGGTGTGATATCCGGATGTGGGGAAGGGGAGAGCAACAAAAGCCACTCGGTTAACAACAAGTTTGACTCAGTTTGCCGCATAAAGTAAATTATGTTTCAACTCGAACACAAATGAAAAGGCTTGAGTAGTCACGCCATTATTCGCTTCATTTCGGCTTTCATTTGCACACAACCGATTGTGTCGGTTCAAATAAAAGCCGAGCCAAGGAAGAACCGTCATAAGTATAATTGGGCTGTACCTGACTCTGTACCTGGCTCCTGGACCGCCGAAAGTTAGGCTAGGATGAAAAAGAGTTATTTCCTTAAGCGTGGTCCCAGTCTGGAATAATTTCGCTTCATGGAGTCTTCCCGTACTTTTGCATTTTTGACTTTTCTTAAGCGTGGTCACAGTCTGGAATAATTTTTCTTCTGGAATAATTCATCTTCATGAATAGTTTTCTTTTCTTCGCTTCATGTCTTTGTACTTGTGACTTGTAGTTAGACACGTTACGTTTGGCCTGTGACATGTGACGTGCCTGTGTTACGTTTGGACGTGTCAATTAGACACGTCCGGTTTGGCCTGTGATACCAGTCTCCTCAAATTTTTTTTGATTGTCTTGAAATTCTGATTAAAAAAAAGTTGCTCAGACGGGAGAAATACGATGGCACTTCCTGCTTACCAGCTGAAGGAATTAGTTGGCTTGCTTTTCTTAACACATATGTGTTATGTAGTGGTCGCAGTACACTAATTGATCAAAACGGTTGTACAATGAATGCTACGAGAGCTTGAAACGTTCTAATTTGGACAAAACGAATGCAAATACAAGGGTTTCACTTAAAGCGTCCATTTTTAAGTGCAAGCAAGGAAACTAAAAGCGGGCCAAGCACTCACTATCTCGCAAGTATTGCTGGGGCTTTATATTGGTACCTTTCATGCAATCATTGTGGTTTGGGAAGTAGAGATCAGCGGCTACACATACCATTTGCAAAACAGCAGCTGCAGCAAGTGTGGGCCATTGTTAGAATTGAGAATTGCGTCCGTGTTGAGGCGGCTGTCATGAAGACGTTTTGCTAGCCAGATGAAAACTAAATGCAAAAAATGTCCAGGTGTTGACAGATGTTTGGTCTGAAAGAAATATTCGAAAAAATGATATCTCTTTACAAATAATGACCTTTTACGATTGACATTCCAAATGAAATATCCTGTACGAGGCCATCACCACGCGAATTCAACGAAACGCCATGCTATAGCTTTGCTTTCTCCCCCCGTGGCGTTCTATGGCCTTTAGCACAGTGACTCTTTGCAGGAGTGCTTTTGCTTGTGGAGGCATCATTAACATAGATGTTCAGTTCGTTGTAAAGCTGTTTACAAAGCAGGTGTGCACCATCGACATGTCACGTGGTCCAGTGACGCACAGTCTCCAACTTCCACCAAGGCACGAAGTTACTCACGCCGCCCGCCGTGCTTAACACAAAAGCTCATGTTTACTCGCTCTCCACACATAACCCATACCCATATGGATGAGATTGGCGTCAGATTCCCGCCGCAGTCGCGGAGGCTACGACAAATATTTCACTTAAATATCTTGTACACGCCCAAAATCGCTATTCCGGAAATAACATCTGGGGCTGCAGAGAGCGACAGGAGTATCTTGCTGTGCGTAAACGTTAACTGCCTAATTTAGACTCGAAAATAATCACACTCGACGCTGGCACATCAAATCGGCATCTTTTGATGGCACAGCAACTCCCCAGCTCCTGGGGCTGCCACTTTCTCACCTTTAGCGCCGCGATGCAAGGCCTGAGCGTCTGCATAACCTGCGTGGTGTGTCTGTCATTAGAGGCTTCTCATGCCAATTGGTGCAAGACAAAAGTTCAGAGTTGCAGCAAATGAGCATACTTGAAGTGGAACATGAGAAAGAGCGATGATTGGAAAAAGGAAATGTTAACCTGACATGATGGCTTTAATGCGTAAGGAGTGCCGAAGTCGAGCTGTTCCGCAGAGGCGTCAGTATTGTCATGGAGACGCGTCCCAAAGACATCTGCGCTCATACCTGTGACGCGCCTCTGACCCTCACAGGTGGGAGGTCAGTGGAAGACCTCTGGTCCTCACGATGCCAGTGGAAGACCTCTGGCCCTACGGGTGGGAGGCCAGTTGCCGCCCCCCCCCCCCCTCATGCAGCGCTGGATTGGGGTAGGTTGTCGACCGACTGGCCTGGTCCTCGGTTCCCACGTTCGCCGGAAATCTGGGCAGGACGAGTGCGGGGCAAATAAAGGGTTTCGGTGGGAGGCAAACGAATGGCTGATTAATTGTTCTCGGTGCCCGCGACCCCACGACCGGAAGCTACTCCGCGCCGGATTAGCGGAGGCAGATCAGGGGAGCTTGTCGGCGAGGGAGGCCCGCTCGCATTTCTAACGAAAATACCATACTTGTCATTAGCGTGGTGGGTCAGCTGGTAGGCACGCGTTATGCTCTTTCTTCAGAACAGTTCAAAAGCCGTGCCACCATGAACGACTTTAAAATGATTGTATTTATTGTTCCCCATAAATTACGATTGGCATTTAAGGTAATGGGTCTGACAGCTGTACTTGAAGGTCATCAACAATCATTAAGGTATTGCAGCAATAAAAACGTTAATAAACTCTAAGAATTTACGGCAAGAAATAAATCACAGAGCCGTAGTACCCAGATCATTATCAGCTAGCGAACGCATTTTTAAAAACGACAAACGTAAATTTGATCACTATCCGCACAAAGCATCTGTTGAACAGCGGCACAAGATTCAAATGTAGCATGGCTCATAAACGGCTTTCTGGTCCGACGAAATGGCGGGGCGTATTTTACAGTGACGCCGGCGAGCTGGTCCGTTGTTAAGGGAGCGGACTTTCCTCTGGCTGGGATCGACACCCTTGAAGCGGGCGGCCTACCAAAGCATTTCAGCCGAAGCATTTCGTGACGAGTTCTTCAAGAGCCAGCTGAAGTGAAATATTCAGGAATTCATTGACGCCGAGAGAACTGACAGCCATCCAGCTTCGGCTCCCAGCGCATTCCAATTTAAAGCGAGCTAGCCGAGAGAGCGCGTCATCGCCCGGGCAGTTCAAGAGCCGCGCCGGGGCCGCCGGGCACGGCCCGCATTCCGCCCCGGGACGCCCTCCGACCCGGGGCCAGCACGACAGGGGCGGCCGCGTCTCGTTCGCCGCCCCGGCCCGGAGGCGACGGCCTCGCGCCGGAGGTCAGTTTAGGGCCGCGCCAGCGCCGCTCGCCTGTAAAACTGCCGCCGGCGGCGACGGCCCAGATGTCCGTAACGACCGCGACCCCCCGGCGGCCCGCGCCGCTCCGGCCGCCGCTGGTGCTCGGGTGAACGCCCGCCGCGCCCGTGACGATTTCATTGGCGGCGCCGGCCGATCGTCCGCGTGCTCAGAAGACGTGACGTCATTATCGGGCGGGACGTCGACAGGATGTCCGGACAAGGACGGCGCAGTCACGGTCAGTTTGTCACTCGCCGCTTGCCAGGCGCGTATGTCCAGATTCTTGTCTGATGCCATCTGCGGAGCCTGTCAGGTGCACATCTGGGTGGCCTGACATGCAACCGTCTGGGTGACACCCCATTCATCCGTGTCAGTGACCTGTTAGCTTCCATATAAATGGTCCGTGTGAGTGATCCGGAATACATGTACCCGTGTGGGAGGCCTATTGCGCACCAGCGTGAGTGACTCGCCGAGTGTCAGCCCGCAAGTGAGTGCCGGCGGCCCGCCCGAGGGGCACGTCACGCTCCCGTCAGACTGTCATGTGGCCAGTCTATGCCTTCGTCTGATCGGGGACCAATTACTCGAGCTTCACCGCGGGCAGGGACCGGCCTTCGAGCCGTGCAGCCGCCCGACCGCGACACGGAACACAGAAACAACGCGAACGTGCAAATGACGGCGGCGTCAAATACACGTGAATGACATAGTCAGGATGGGAGATTACGCTGCCCGTAAAACTACACCGTGCGCATGTTAAAACTGCATCAGACACGTGATAGAACGTCGGGTCAATTTCGAGTACATTTCTGGCGTCA